TGCTTGCACACACTACCTGAGGGTTTACACGTGCTTGCACACACTACCTGAGGGTTTTTACACATGCTTGCACGCACTACCTCTTTCTGAGGAAGGCTCAGAGAAATGACTTGACTGATGTGTCACATGACCACCGTTCAGAGCCAGGGCCCAGCCTCAGCTCTTGGGAAGACAGAATGGACAGACTGAGGGACAGGGCTAGGCAAGATGGACATGCCTTCACCTTAAGCAAGTGTGTATGAGGCACCTACTGTGTGCCAGGCACTACAGTGGTACAGTGGGCAAGGCAGCTGCCCCCTCCCTGACAGAACGCACGTGAAGGTCAGAGGTGATCCCAAATAAGCAAACAGATAAGCAATGAGGACTATGGATATTTGTTGTTGCTTGGGAAGGCAGGCAGAGGGGCCAGTGACCACAGGCTCACTGAATGGGAGCAGCCTTCTAGAGTCAGGGTCACAGATGAGGCTGGGTGATCACAAAAGGCCTCTCTGGGGCAGCATCTGAGCTGAGAGGGGGCTGTCAGGAGGAAGGCAGCGGGGGGTACAGCAGAAGGTGTGTTCTGGTTTGAACATGAAACCGTGCGGATGAAGAGAACGCTTAATGGCTTCGTCTGTATTCACTGCTACTCGAAGCCACCGTTAGTTCTGGAAAGGCACAGTGGAGAATCAGAGTGACTGAAAGTTCCTCTGGGCCACATCTGATCTTGTTAACCGATTTGAGAACATCAGAAGGCCTGGTTCTCTGGTCTGCTTTGTGTCGCAGCTTGAGCCCAGGGCCAGACACTCCTCTGCTTTGGTTTATGCCATGGGAAGAAAGTCTTGGGCCTGCGCCATCGAGGAGCTGATCCTGAGGCCTCAGGCAGGGCTATGGTGGGGCAGGACTGGGTGCAGGGAGAAGGTCAGGCAGGCCACTTGAGCCCCGTGGAGCTTCCAGACTGCCAAGCGAAGGTCTGGATGCCTGCTGTCTCCCAGGCTCCTCATATCAAATACCAACATGCAAAATAGCTTACAGAGGCCTCGCGAAGTTGGATATTTGTGCGTGCATGTGTGCGTGTGTATGTGCGTATGTGTGTGTACATGTGCATGTGTGTGCCTGTGTGTGTGTGTGTACATGCATGTGTGTATGTGTCTCATGTGTGTGTGTGTGTGTGTGTGTGTGTGTGTGTTAATCAAGGTGAAGTTCACATAAAAATCATTCATTTTAAAGTACACGGTCAGATGACACTTGGTGTGTGTGTGTCTGTCACCTCTGTCAAATGGATTTTCATCATTCCAACAAGACCCCATTCGCCACCCACTCATGTTCCTCCATGTCCCCAGGCCTAACAAACAGTACCCTGCTTTAAGTCCCTCTGGGTCTGCCCACTGTGGGTATGTCCTGCAAGTGGAACCGGGCCACCTGTGGCCTCTGGGACATGACATAGAGGCCACCTGCCCCACGGCAGGGTCTTCATCCCTGCGGACAGCTAATAGTCCTGTGTGCTACTCAGGCAAGTGTCTGCTCGTGGAGACAGCTTGGTGGCCCTGCTGCATGTAAGGAAACAAGTTTTTTGTTTTCTGGTACCATAGACTGGTGAGTGATTTGTACCAAATGTAATGTAGGTTACACAGAACACTTTATGCACAGAGAAGGAAACACACACACACAAAACAAACAAACAAAAACCTAAATTCTAGGTAGCCTGCAGCACCCATGACTTCTTGCCTTAATAAAATTCACTTGGGAATTCCTGCAAAAGGGAAACCAGAAAACAAGGTAGGCAGGAAGGCTAAGGAGAAGGCAGGCCAGAGGGCACTAGGGACAGAGCACTCCCCAGCCGGCCAGGAGGACTCTGCAGAGACACTGAGGACAGACAGAGCACTTCCCACCCGGCCAGGAGGACTCTGCAGAGACACTGAGGACAGACAGAGCACTCCCCACCCAGCCAGGAGGACTCTGCAGAGACACTGAGGACAGAGCACTCCCCACCCGGCCAGGAGGACTCTGCAGAGACACTGGGGACAGAGCACTCCCCACCCGGCCAGGAGGACTCTGCAGAGACAGCTGTCATTGGAATATTTTCCCCAGAGAATGCTGGGTGATGCAGCTGCCAGGGGCAAGGGGAGAGGAGGGTAGCAAAGGCCAGCACTCGGTCACAAGAGAAGGAAACACTGACTGGAGAATTGGGGGAAGGGAGAGAAGACCCTGAGCATCTGTATCCGGAGAGACATGGTGCTGAGGAGCGCATGGACATGTCCCCAGGGAGGGAAGCCCCTTCTCCCTCACGGCTCCGTGAACTTAGTCCATTCTTTTGTGCTTTTCATTACTTCTCTGTTCTGAGGTCACAGCTTCACTGTTCTATACACTGGAGTTGAAAGAAAATTATCCAGAGGTCTAAAGTAAGCAGCCGGCTTCCTGATCTCTGGCCCCAAAGGCTGAAGTGCCTGTTTAAATCCACCTATTACCTGCTCCCACCTCTGGCTATTGTAAGCCATGCTGCTTTGAACATTTCTGCACTGATATTTGCTTAAATACCCGCTTTCCGTTCCTTTGGGCAAGCTCCTACAGTGGCGTTGCTGGTCAGGTGCTCTTGGAATGAACAGTCTCAGGAACAACAGCCTGTTTCCCTGGCACCTGCACCGGTTTATATTTCCACCGGCAATGAATGGGCTTCCCGTTTCTTGACATCCTGATGCATATCTTTGAAACACTGAATTCTTGTAAAATTGTTTTTCTCATCTCACGGTGCACTTTTTTGTTGGTCCCCGAGTCTGTGGGTGGCCTGCGTGCAAGGCCGGCCAGCGCTGCCTGGTGTGGGCTCCATGGTCCAGGTGGGCATAGGAGGGGAGCGGCGGGCAGCTGAGACTCTGTGGCCCTGTAACTGGCCATGGGGTTACAGTGAGCTGCGGACTTCTGGTTCTCCTCCTCTGCACTTCCCCAGCCAAGAGCTGTCCTCTCTGCCACTCATCTGTGTGTTCATGCGTGTTTTCATGAGTTTATGTGCGCGCACACACACGCTCACACACGCATATGTATGTGTCTCATCACCAGGATAAATGTAGCTACCAACAATGCTTCGGGCTGGTGCTAATTTGTCAGACACAGTACATGGTTGTGATCTTGAATACATTAACATTTTCATGTGAAATCATTTCATTTTTTAGTGATTAAGAAGTGTTTGTCTTAAGCATTAGGGCATTGGGGTGACATGTTGTAGGCCTGGGCAGTGCGGGCCAAGGTGAGGGAACCCCCAAGTATGATGTCATTCATGTTGCCTGTGTAAGCAGTCATTGCTCCGCCTCTACTTCCAAAGCTTCCTGGGCGGGCATGAGTCCGAGTGTGGAAAGGCAGGCAGGTAGGTGACGGAGTGGAGATGGTAGAGTCTGAGGATGCAGTTCAGGGGTCCAGAAGCTTCAACCTCCATCTTCTCCTGGGTTCTCCATGTCCATCCGCCTCACTCGGTGTCACCGCAGAGAGGCCTTCCCTAGACATCCAGCGTTCCCAGGATCCCGCCATTCTCTCTCTGCTTTAGTTTCCTCTATCAGCAACGGGGTGGCCCTTCTTTGTTGAATTGTTCACTTCTCTCCTTTAGGCCTCTCTCCTCTACAGCTTAAGTTTCTTGAGGGCAGGGACTGTGTTTCTTATGCTCACCGATCCTGTGGGCGGATGATGGATGGATCTGCAGGAAGCAGACGTGTTAATGGACTGGCACTCCAGGCCCTCAGCCCTCCCTCTTCCCCATCACCTGCATTCAAGGTCTGTGCCTCCCTCTCTGGGTGTCCAAGAGTCACTGTGAAGCGTTCCCTTGCTTTAGGCAGACGGTCTCCTCGGGTCCATTGTTGAGAGCCTTCTTGGTCGTGATCTTCCTGTCTTTTTCCTGGGGCTTCCAAGCTGTGTGGTTCTCTCCAGAGAGGAGGGTGTGTGTGTGTGTGTCTGTGTCTGTGTTGTCTTTGTGTGTATGTATGTATGTATGTGTGTGTGTATGGTGTGTGTGTATGCATATATGTATGTGTGTATGCATGTATATGAGTGTGTGTGTGTGTTATAGTGTGTGTATGCATGTGTGTGTGTGTGTGCGTGTGTGTGCGTGTGTGTGTGTGTGTGTGTGTGTGTGTGTGTGTGTGTGTGTGTGTGTTGTGTTGAGCCAGAACCAGGCTCTTTCCTTCAGGCCTTTCTCTGACAGCCATACAGAATGCTCTGCAAACTTTACCTCCCCAACTCCTGTGGCCCTGCCCCCACTCCCCGGGTCAGACCCTCCCTCAATACTGACACCCTCCCTCAATACTGACACCCCCCCCCACCAGTGAAAGGAAAATAACTGGAAGCTTTTATCGTTCAGCAGAAGCAACATCAGAAAACAATTATTGTTTTAATTACCTGCTGTCGCCGTACAAGACAGGGAGGCTGTAAAGTGCGATGGAATCTTTCATGTTAATGGACGCCAGCCTGGGCCAGGGTACGATTTATGTGGCTGCAGCTGGCAACTTCAGTCAACTGGTGTGGAACCCCTAACCCCCCTGTCCCCAGCCTTGTGCCAGGCACCCCTTTGCCCACAACCTGTCTCTGTAACATAGTAAGGACACTTGCCTTCTCCTCCCAGGAAAGCCTGCAGCCAGCCAGCAAGTACACAGGGTCCAGCAGCCCTTTAGGGGTGACTATTGGGTTGGCACCTCTTGCCACTGAATGGGAGAACTGCTGGTGTGGGTACGGACTGGTCCCTATGCAGGCCTGCTCCTCACCTGTGCCGTAACATGCACACCCCTCCGCCACACCTGGCTGGTGTCCTGGCTCTGGGACATGCACACCCCTCCACCACACCTGGCTGGTGTCCTGGCTCTGGGACATGCACACCCCTCCACCA